GCTCCCCCCCACGCACTGTTGAGATCATGACCTGAGCTGAAGTCAGATGCTTAACCGAACGAGCCACCCAGGCGCCCCCACCTTTTCTTTTTTAAGTAGGCTTCGTGCCCAGCACAGGGCTTCAACTCACCACCCCGAGATCAAGGCCTGAGCTGAGATCAAGGGTCAGAGCTTAACCAACTGAGCCACCCAGGGTGCCCCCAGATTCTTGAATAAAAACCCCTCTATACATGGGAGCCATTCTCATGGAGGCCAGACTCCCATTGCTTAGGATAGGTCGCTATTTCTTGGCTCAGTAGAAGGGCAGAAGATGGGAACTCTACTACATGGGCCCTTTTTAAACTCCTGTGTATGAGAGTCTGTGCTAGGAGCCAGGAGGGATTCAGGAAGAGTGCGACCTGCCCTCACGGAGCCCCCAGTCTGAGTAGAGAGACAGGCAGGGCACCCACTCACCCACTAACTGCAGACAGGGCCACATGAAGCTTCTCCTAGAGTATCTGGTCTACCAAAGTGCCGATAGAGGGCAGAGAGCAATGACCAATTTCAATTCATAGGGTTGAAAAAGACATCCTGTATTGGGTGAACGGAAGTAAACCTGGCAGCAGAAGGTCAGAAGCACAGGAGGAGCTCCCTAACCTTGATTCACATCTAGGATCTTCTCCACAGTGAGAATTCTGTAAGCACTAGTGCACAGAGACTGTCTTGTAGACCTTTGATGAGTTATAACTACAGTTATCTGCAAAATGAAAGGCAAAAAGCCGAGGGTCTATTTGTAGCTCAATCACCAAACACTGGGAGGATCCGGATCTGCCTGGTATTATCTGGATTGGCCGTCCTTGCTGCCAGAGAAGGGCGTACGGTTGCCTCCCGTCCATCTCACTTGGCTGTGATGGCCACGGCATCCCAATCCCAGATACCAGACGACGAGAGACCTGCAGTAAGGGAGGTTACCTCTCCAGGAAGGAGCCAGAACACAAGTGGCAGCTTTAGTACCAGCCTCTACGGCCTTTGCTGCCATGCGCTGTATTCCGGTGACCTTCCGGAAGGGACCACATTGGAGGATGGGTTCCTGTAGGGAGACATCTTGGCAAAGAAAGACGTCTCTCCCACTTACAGGGAAGAGGTGTGGTGCTCAGAGAGGGGGAATCCTAGGGTATGCGACGGGGTGGGAAGGCAAACGGGCTGGGAAAATGTCAGATTATCGGAGCCCAAGTTCAGGACGACCACGTGAAGCCGTGCGAGCCTGGGTGAGCCGTCTTCATTTTGAGATTCAGGGGAGCGCTTGCAGCCTGCACCCTGGGAATTCTCCCCAACCCTCCCACACAGCGGCAGGAAAGATGCATTGCGTGTTTGCTGCCTGGCTGCTGCCAGGGGAGGAGGCTCCCGCTCTAGCTGAGCAGCGCCTGCAAGAACATGGAGCCGTGGATGGGTGTGTGGGAGTCGGGGGAAGGGGGGGGGGAGGACCTTGGGCCCTCCTAATAGGCAGAGGGGCGGGCAGCTGTTTAAGGAGGAGCGACAGAGAGGGAGGGTGACAGAGCTAAAGCAAAGGTCACTGTTAGCTGCTTTATCTAGCTAGCTTGCTCTGAGGAGGCCGGGAGGCCATGATCTGTAAGTTCTGGTGTGTGTGTGTGTGTGTGTGTGTGTGCGCGCACGCACATGGCATTGTGTGTGAGAGAGAGACAGAGAGAGAGAAATAGAGAAAGAGGGAGGGAGAGAAGTCATGAGAAAGTAACTTAGGGAAACCGGCGATACTTGTCTTGAGCAACTTTTCACTAATCAAAAGTACTTTCATTCATTCCACAAATGTGAAAGGTGATTTACTTATGAATTAGATTCTTGGGGTTTCCTGTTGGTTTGTTTAGAAGATGTGAGGGAGTGGAAACATTTGCTGGGACAATCATTTCTCCTCTGTTCCTCGCCAGGGAGAAAACAAACCCTTAGAGAAGAACGTTCTTTTCTCCTCGCTTTCTTTTTTTAAAAAATTTTTTTTTTTTCAACGTTTATTTATTTTTGGGACAGAGAGAGACAGAGCATGAACGGGGGAGGGGCAGAGAGAGAGGGAGACACAGAATTGGAAACAGGCTCCAGGCTCTGAGCAATCAGCCCACAGCCTGACGCGGGGCTCGAACTCACGGACCGCGTTTTCTCCTCGCTTTCTACTCAGCCCATGACTTCTCACCACTGCAATCGCCTTCTCTCCTGACCTTGTTCTCCTCCTTGCTGCCAGTTTACTCTGCGGAATCACCGACTCAGTCAGTCAGCCTGTCCGTCGGTCAGTCCACACACATATATACCAGGTGCTAGTGTCTGTGGGTGGATGCCATTAAATAAGCAGATTATAGTTTTCACTTAGTCTAAGGAAGAGTTTTCCAACAGTCAATTCACTACTAAAAGGAGCTCGCCCTCCATGGGGGAAAATGTGTGACTGCTTGAGCCAGCAACAGCCAGCTAGGATGCTTCTGGAGGATTCTTGCATCATGCGTGGCTTGGCTAAGGTAATACCCGAGGTTCCACCCAATGCTGAGAGTCCATGATTTGCTTGTGATAATTTTTTTTCAACGTTTTTTATTTATTTTTGGGACAGAGAGAGACAGAGCATGAACGGGGGAGGGGCAGAGAGAGAGGGAGACACAGAATCGGAAACAGGCTCCAGGCTCCGAGCCATCAGCCCAGAGCCTGACGCGGGGCTCGAACTCCCGGACCGCGAGATCGTGACCTGGCTGAAGTCGGACGCTTAACCGACTGCGCCACCCAGGCGCCCCAACTTGTGATAATTTTTAATGGAACTAAATAGACACCGAGGAAAGACTGTGGTCCCTAACTTGGATTTCCCCCCTCAACTCCAAAGCGATCAAGCACAACAAAGTAAATGTTCACACTGATCTCTGCTCTCTCTCCACCATTGGATGACTTAACCATCTGTCTAGACTGAGCCGAAGGGGTGAGAAAAAGCGCAACGTGAATTCTCTAGAGTGGAGACACCGTGGAGAGGAGACAGGGCCTGTGATGATGCTTCCTCTGATATGCCCAGGCCGTGGCTCGATTCACCCCCCAAAAAAGGCACGCGTCCTCCTCAACCAGAACGAAAGGTAACGATCGAAAATGAAGGACCGGATGAAGAGACAGAAAACCGAAAACAAGCAGTTTTCTAACCAGAGATCTGGCAGCTTCTCCAAATCACAGTGGGCAGAGTGAAGCGGGGTTTCACTTCAGGTCAGCTCGATTCGCTCTCACAGGCACGTTTTGCGCATTCCCACTACATGAGTCTGTACTTTGGGGACGGGGAGACTGAGCTCCACGACTCTTCCCCGAGCAAATGAACCCTCTTGCCTGCCCGTCCTGAATCCCCAGGCCTGTGCAGGGGGGCTTTCTTTCCGGAGCCTTCGATGCCTTCCCTGGGCCCAGTTACCATTCTCATCACAAAAGGATGCCGGCCATAGACCTCCATGATGAACATGGGGAATATAATAAGCTGTGATTTTAATAATCCTTCCAAAGATGAAGAAATTCTTGGTGGAACCCACCCTTCTCTTGACTCTGTTCACGAATTAAGTGTAAATCTGTATCTTTGCCTTTTCCTCCGTCGGAGTGCTGTTCTATAAAACTGCCGTTTATCAGGGAGAATTGACAATGGAAATGCCTGTCAGAAAGACCCTTCTTACAATTGAGACCTAGCCTGTCGTAGGAGGTGAGGTAATTTCTTCTCAAGCTTCTGGTATCCAGGGAGAAAAAGGAACAACAAAACAAGGTCTGTTAATAAAGGGGTGAGAGTCTCTGGGTATTTTCTGTTAGTCAAGAGACCTCAAGGAAGGTTAATTCTGGGCTGAAAGCAAACCTTTGTCGAGGATTTCATTTTAGAAGGTTCAAAAGACACCAGGGAGAGAGGGAGAACAAGAGGCAGGAAGAGGCATGCACAGAAAGAGGGAGAGAGATGAAGGCAGGGAGAAGCAGGAGAGCCTGGCCTTGCTGAGATGTCACAGGAGAGAGTCACAGATACAGGCTCCAGCAGTTTGATCACTGGAAAAATGTCTGTTAAGAGTTGATGCAATGGAAGAGAGAAATTTCTGGATTTATTATTTTTTTTAAAGGTGTGCCTTTGCTCCTGCTGCTCTGTTCACCTGGAATGCCCTATTCCTGTCCAGCTTTTAGCCTCTCTGTTCTAAAAGGGGCTCAGTTCAAATGCCTCCTCCTCCATGAAGACTTCCTGGGTATCTCTAGTTACATATACAGTTGCTTCGTTTTCTGTAGGTCCCTAGCAGTTTTTTTTTCCATTAATTGTTTTTATATCTAGTCATGGCAAAATACACATAACATAAATTTTACCATCTTAAACATTTTTCAGCATACAGTCCAATACTGTTAAGTGTAGTTATATTGTTGTGCAGCCAATCTCCAGAACTTTTTCATCTTGCAAAACTGGAACTCGGTACCCATTAAGCATCACCACCCCGTTCCACTGACCACCACCATTCTACTTTTCATCTCAATGAATTTGACTACTTTAGGTAGTCAAATAAGTGAAAATCATATGTGAAATCATACAGTATTTGTCTTTTTGCGATTAGCTTATTTCACTTAGGATAATGTCCTTAAGGCTCATTCAAGTTAGTTGCATGTATCAGGATCTCCTTCATTTTTCAGGAATATTAATTTGATTCTATTTTTCTAATGGCATTTATGGCACGCGGTCTTATTTTTAAGCAACATTTGCACATTATACCTCTCTTGCAGAATTCTAGATCTTTGGAGGACAGGGTCTGAGTCTCCACACAGTTGAGTCCCACTGTACCTATTAGCCCAGTGCTTGGCAGAGAATTGGTGCTAATTTATTGAGAAGATCACAGGACCCATGCTCTTTGTCTTGAGTGGGCTCTTTAGAGCTCCCAGTCTCTCAATAACCACATCCCGCGAAAGACTCAACAGACGTTTAAACCTTTCCATGTCATCAAGCTGAGGTGAGCAGAAAGGGATTGGCACCAACCATTTGGGGCTGCTCTTACCCCACAGCCTTGAATCAGTCCTGTGTCTTCTCTTGACTTGAGCCTTCTACTTCCTTTTGGCAGGCATCTCCTTTGGGACAGGACAGTGGGCCCAATCTTAAAAGAACAGAAAGTAGGAGTAAGAAAGAGTAAGGGGAGAAGGGAAGAGTTCACACAAGAATGCAAGCTGATAATTAGATTTAGATTTTCCATCCTGCTAACTCTCTGATTGTGTCATCACTTTTAATATGTATCTTCTGATAAAGATGGGGTGGTAATGGGGGGCAGAGGACTGGGGAGGGGTAATGTTAATAATCATACTAAGCATTCTTTCCTGCCCTCTCCCCCAGGTTGTCACTGTAGAAGACAGCTTTTTTTCCAACTCAGGAACAGCAAGGGAAGCCTTGCTACAATTTGATTTGGGAGGTTGGAGAACGAAATGCAGCTTTATGTTTGGTCTATAATAGCTATTTTTAGGGTTACTTTAGTTAGCTTGTCTTAAAGCCCTGCCTTTCCCTTTGTCCTTCCACTGTCATTTGTAAGAGGGGATCATGGAACAAACACAGGCATTGAGTCCAGCAGTCTTGGGTTCTACCGGTGATATAAACTGGGGTGGGCCAATTCACCTCACTGAACCTCAGTTTCCTTACCTGCAAAGTGGGGAGAAATACCCCCCTCCCTCCCCAGGCTTTCCTGATGATTCAATAAGGCCATGAATATTAACTGCCCGGTCTGGCATACAACAGTTGGATAATACATGTGAATTTCCTTCCCTTTTCCTGAGTTGACCTGATGTCCCTCTTTTCCAGGCTGTGGCTGAATTGGCTTCATTTGGATCCTTGACTCCACATAAGCCACATTCGCTGCACTGGTTTTGGCTCTTTCTTAGCAGGCCATGACCCCCAAGGAAACCCTACGGCAGCTCCTCCTGTTTTGCGATGCCTGGATCATCAGAGAAGAGTATTTTGGTGTGGGATAAGGCTCTGTTCAGGCCTAATAGAACCTTGTTGGGAGATGGAGTTTTCAAGCCTACACGGCAAATCACAGAAGAACAAACCACCATGGTTCAATTTATTTGCCAAATGATTTATCTCCATGGTAGGCAGCAGGCTCTGTGTTTGTACATTGCTTGGAGTGCTGGAGCCTACCTACAGAAGGCCCTTTATTTTTATTTATTTTTTTTGACCCACGTCACCTTTATTAGCAAAGCCTAGTCCTAAGGGTCAGCAAACGGGTAGGAGCTCAGCCAGCCCAGAACAAGCAGAAATATGAAAGCAGTTTCTGCCAGAGTCTAACAGAGCTGGTAGCCTCGTTGACCCAGAATGCCAAAACCAACGGCCTGTTGTTGAGAAGAAGTACACGGAATGTGTTTGAATTACCTTGGTCCTTCTCATTTAGGTGTCATTGCATTTATCTGGAGCACAAAAGAGCTGTACTTGGTCACTTTCTCCCATCAAACTCTTCCCCCCCCCGCCCCCCCCCCCCCCGCCCTGCACTTCAGAGAAGAAAACACCTGCTTCCGGCGAGGTGGCGGTAATCAAGGCGTCAGGGAAGTACCATTGGAGTCTGGCCTTAAAAGATGGGTAGGATTGGAAAATGTAAAGATTTGGAAGCAGGCCTTTCTGGTGGAAAGAACAGCAGCGACAAAACATAGAAGTGGAAACTTGTAGTGGCATTGCTGGAGAATTATTGGGAGACTAAGCTATACAGAAGGAATAATAAAAATAGGTAATATTAAACACTGTGATAGACATTTCCTAAGACGGTCTTTAGTCTCCGCCTTCTGATCTTTATGCTCTGTGTGACTTCTCTCCTTGAGTATGGATTGGATCTATTGACCTGATGAATAGAATGAGTAGAATGTCTCTGAAGTAATGGGGTACCTTCTGAGATTAGACTATTCAAAGACCGTGGCTTTTTTCTTGAACACTTTCTCTCTTGCTGTTTGCTTTCTCTTGGGTTGGGTGCCCCGAAGAAAGCCAGCTGCTATGTCATGAGGCAGTCCCGTGTAGAGGACCACATGCGGAGGGACTGAGGCCTGCTAACGACCATGTTAGTGAGCTTGGGTGTGTCCCTTCCCTGCTGCGGCCCAGCCTGCAGATGAGACCTCTTTACCAACTGCTTGACTATAATCTCTTGAGTGACCCTGAGGCAAAAGCACCCAGCTAAGCTGTGCCCTGTTTCCTGACCCACAGAAGCTGTGGGTAGAAAATGTTTATTGTGGGATGCCTGGGTGGCTACGTCAGTCAAGTGTCCAACCTCAGCTCAGGTCATGATCTCACGGTTCATGAGTTCGAGCCCCGAGTCAGGCTCTGTGCTGACAGCTCAGAGCCTGGAGCCTGCTTCAGATTCTGTGTCTCCCTCTCTCTCTGGCCCTCCCCTGCTCGTGCTCTTTCTCTTTCTCTCTCAAAAATAAATAAATATTAAAATAATAAAATAAAATAAGGAAAATGTTTGTTGTTTAAAGTAACTAAGTCTGGGGGTAATTTGTTATGCAGCAAGAGATAACCAATACAAGCACTTACTCTAATGTACCAGATGCTGTGATACATACTTCCTATGTCTGACGCCATTTAATCAACATTAGGTGAGTATCCTTGTCCCAATTTTTTCCAGTTGAGAAAACCAAGCTTTAGACATCTACCCAATGCCTGTTATACATCTAGTAAGTGCACAAGCTGAGACTCAAACCGGGCTGCCTTATTCCTGGGTGTGTCCTCTTAACTTGGACACTCTATATTCTACAGTTTGGTTCACTCCCTCTTCGCTCCACGTCCCCCAAGGTCTGTTGGCAACACGGTCCTCGTGCCTCGTCAGAGCCTGGAAGGAAACTTGGGACTTTCTCTGGAGTTTTTTGAACAGAATCTCCCTCTCTATGTCCAGTTGTCTCTGACAGGCTGTGCCAGGTACTTGCAGCTCCAACCATTATGACAGCAGTGACCTCCCAGCCCCCAGGACCCCATCTTCTTCCTCCTTATCTCCTTGCCACTCCTTGCCCTGGGCACCACCTGTGGTTTTGGAAGTCAAGGCCTGTAGGGCTACCCTTGGGTGGCATAGTGGGCCCCTTTCTCCTGCCCTGGGCTGGAGGTTGTTTCCCGGGAGACCATATCATATTCTTCAGGACCCGACAAATACAACTTTTCCACTTCCTTCTATCACAGGGCGAGAAAGACCCAGAGAGTCCTGCTCCTGCTCCAGGAGATGAGGACTCTAACCCTGCGAGTCCTTCTCTAGTCTCTGGTAAACAAGTGGAAACTCTGCCCAGTCTAACTCTGCTTCCTCCACGGTTTCATTGGACACTGGTTTATTTCAGGGTGTTCCTAGGAGATTTATACTCAACACTCCTCGTCAGTCACATGTGGTGGTCTCTCCCTGGGCCTTTGCAGGGAGGCAGTGATGCAGATGTGTGGGCTGCCCCATCCTGGGTCCCGAGTAACCACGATATTCCTTCTCATCACGGTATCTATTGCCAATTTAGTGAGCTCTTTGATACACTGAGTCTCAAGAGGTCCATAGATGAATGATTACCTTTGGCTAATATGAAAAACAAACCAACTAATCAAACAGAAACTTAAGAGTTAGGAATGACCTTTCGTGACTGATAAGCCAGTCTTCACTGTTGATCTGCTACTACGTTTTGCTGTGCTCTGTGTATCAGTTCATAAGCTCAAAGGAAGCCACTGCTCAGAAAATTAGCTCCAACCCCCTGGACTTTATACCTTAGTTCCCTGTTAATCCTTGATGGAAATGAGCAGGGCCCTAGGCTTCAAAAGAACTTACAATGGGTAACTAAAGTCCAAAGGCAATCTCTCCCCAGTGGCAGGAGAACTAGGCTCTCAACCCAGCTCTACCACCTGTTTTCCGGAGGATCCTGGGGGGTTCACCTCACCTCTGTGAACCTGTTTCCGTGTATGTCACACCAGGAGGGTGGGGCAGGCCACCTCCAAGATCTCTTCTAGTCTTCTAGAAGGTTTTATGGGCTGGCCTCTGAACAGGGCACCCCGCCCCCACTCTGTCTCCCTTTCCTCTGCTCAGATGGGCTCCCCAGTTCCGCTGGCTCTCGAAGTAGTGCCCGTCTGTCCGGAACAAGGTCTCACAGAAGAGTATAGGAGCAATCTTTTGGCTCTCTGGAACATTCTTAACAAGGCGGGAGCTTCCTTTCAGAAACGTCACGTACGGTCTCCAAACACCTGCGGCCGCTCATTCCCCACTCCTTGGGAGGTGAGGAAAGGGAGGAACAGTAACGAAAGAATAGCCAGCCCCTTCCTCCCAGGATTAGGGCACCAGGCTGGAGGCCTGCACAGCCCTGTGATTAGGCTCCGTTTTACAGAGGCGGAAAACCAGGGGATGCTAGACTTGAGACTCAAATTCAAGTACATGCCAAAGGAGACGCTAAGGAATCCATAAATATTTATTAGAGCCAAAAGGTCCTCAATAGATCATCTGAGTTGGCTTTCAGGCAGTTTACCAAGCAGAGAAGTAAAATGATTTACTCAAAGTCATACAGCTTGAGAATGCATTTGATTCACATTATGTAGTCAGACACCTTTCTCTAGGAGGACTGACTCAGAACCCTTTTAGAATCAGTTCAAGGACATATGGGTTGGAGGCAGCCAGTTACTCTGCCTCCCCTCTCTTTCCTAGCAGGACTTCTCCCACTTTCTAAAGGATGTTCTTTGGCCTCCCACACCACAGACTCGCCTGATACCAAAGGGCCACGTGTAAACACCCTTCCTTCCGTCTTATCAAAATCCCTCTTGCCTGGGTTTATCAGAGGTGACTCACTCCCTGGAGCCCTTTGCAAGGATCTGGGCTGGGGCTGCAGGGCTGAGAGGTACCAGCCTCTCTGCCCACTTCAGAGAAGGGCCTCTTAAACCTCCACTCTTCTCCATCTGCCCCAGCTGGGAGCCCCGCCACCCGCATGTAGGGGAGCTTGGCCCCAGACGCCACTCCTGGCCTTTGTCACAAAACCCTTGCAAGGGGGGGCCCTTAGGGGCACAGGATCCTGAGTGACATAGGAACCAGGGCTGATGGCTGTGGGAAAGAAGGCAAATGCTCCGAAACGTGAGGCGAATGGCGGGTACCCCACCCTGAGGCCGGGTACTCAAGGAAAGCTT